CACAGCATTTGTGTTTGATTAGTTTCAGCACACACACTGTGCTGTGGCTGCTGACCATCATCTCCTGATGTTTGCTCTGGCGTTCTTGCAGCACCTGCTCCAGGGGACTCCTGCTCTGCTCTCCCTCCTCTCTCTGGGTCTGCTCTCTCTTCCTCCTCTCCAGGACCATCTGAAGCTCCGGCTTACAGCACACCACCAGCCCTCTGTCCCACCCAAAGGGCCCAAGCACAAACAGCGCATATAAAAGTAACAGTTTACCAGTGTTATTTTACTATTATTTATATACTATTACAGTTTTTATTAATATTTTGAATTAGCTTGTTATTTAGCAGTTTTGATTTTACATGTTAAGTTATTCATTTTGTCATTAGCTTTTATCATTTTATTAGTTTTTTTTAAATATTTCTATTTCAGTTTTAGTGCTTCAACTTAGTGCCAAGGCAACATTGCTTATTTTTTATTTACTTTTTTTCTATAAGTTTAGGTTTTTCATCTATTATTTATATTTTATTTTAACTTTATTTCAATTAAAGAAAACGTTTTTAAAATAGTTTTAGTTAACATAAACAACACTGTATGTAAAAGTAGTCAAAGAACTGTAATATCTATAAGGAGAGAAAAAAAATGAACATGACATTAAACAGAAAATCCAGTGCTGTCTGGATGCTTTTTTGGTCCATTCCATTAAACAGTCATGATGGACCAAACCCCAATAACTATCCCTAGTAAAATCAGATTGATTGACAGGAAGATTGATCCTACTAGGGGAAAAATATATTTTAAATATACAGTACAGCACGCCAACTGATGATAATGTATCTAGGTGAAATTTACATTTATGTATTTAGCAGACACTTTTATCCAATGATTCAAAAATGAGAAAATAATTAAAATAATTGAGGAAAATGCTAAAGCTTTTTTCTTGTATTTTCAAAATGTATTGCGACATCATACAATATGGAGCCCCCTTCACAAAACTTCTGCACCCCCTGAGAAACTTTGCATTCACTCGTTTTGTGACAGAACGCAAAAGTTTTGTGAGTGAATGTGAAGTTTCTTAGGGGAACTCTGAAGTTTTGTGTCAAAAAGCAAACACTTTGTGAGGGAACAAAGTTTCTAGGGGGAACGCAAACGTTTAGCGAGGGAACGTTAAGTTTCTTGGAGGAACCCTGAAGTTTTGCGACAGAATGTAAAGGTTCATGAGACAATGCAAAGTTTCTTGGTGAACAAAATTTGGTAACACTTTCTATGAAGCCCGTATTTATAATACATTATAAGGGTATTCTTAAGGCATTATAATGAATGCATAATGCATTATTTTATATGGTTACAATTTATTTTGATGGTCCCCTTAATCAATCGACTATAAGCAACTTTGCAACTACATGCCAACTAACTCTCATTAGAGTATTAGTATGCTCAAGAATGGTAGAATCTAGTATGGTAGAATAAGTTGACGTACTTGCAAAGACACTTATAGTCAGTTGATCTGTTGGTTGACCATTAAAATAAAGTGTTAGCAAATATTTACAGTAGCAGACATACTAATACTCTAATGACCGCTAGTTGATATGTAGTTGCAGAGTCACTTATCAACAGCTGTTTAAAGGGTACCATCAAAATAATCAAACTGATATTACAATAAAAATAGTTCAAAGCAAATGTGTCATATTACACATTCATCTGATCTGATATCTGATCTTATGGCTGTTTGAGAGAAAACAATGTTATTATTATTATTACTACTTATAAGTGGTCTTTGAGCGCTTTAAGTAAAGTAGCATAAGAAAAATGGCAAGATATGAGACTTATAATACATTATAACTATGAGAAATATAATCCATTGTAAAAGTGGATGCAACGTGTTCACTGTGTTATAAATCATCATACTCTTAAAAGCTATAACCACAAATAAGTAAATATTATAATATATTAAAACTGTTCTTATGAATATTCATGAGATGATACAACATATTATAAGGTTTTTTTATAATGCATTATGCATTCATTATAATGCCTTAAGAATACCCTTATAATGTATTATAAATACGGGCTTCATAGAAAGTGTTACCCAAAATTTTTGCTACAGAATGCAAAGTTTTGTGAGAAAATGCAAAAACATTAAAATATAATTTTTCCTCCCATCTCATTGTTTTTCAGGAGGATAAATAATATTTAAATGCTTTTGCATTCTCTCGCAGATGTTTTGCATCCCCCGAGACACTTTGTGTTTGCCCACAAATGCATGACATATACTTTTAATATTATTTCCATCACAAGCGAGCGAATGCAAATTACTAGGGGAACTCAAAAGTTTTATAGAAATTTTCAAGTTAACAATGTTTTCCTTCTTATTTTATTTTGAGTTAAGGACTCCATAGACATCATGAGATTTGACTGTCATTTTTGAGCCCATATTTCCTGCCAAACTGACCAAACGATTGTTTTTTGGAGGTTTCATGGCAGGACACGGCAGTAGTGTCGGGAGGCTGCACTGCAGCAGGCCTATCATTACAGTGTCTGCCAGTGTGGCCCGACGTTAGCTGCTGATAATACCAGAGGGTGTACGATTGCAGCCTGTGTGTCCTGTCCACACATGACTGCATGACACAAAAGACCAGAGAGAGAGAACGAGGCATCATCAATATTTCAACAACCCACTTAAAAAAAAAGCTCAGCGATTTATTAAAGTCTCCATGACTGTACCTGATTTGGCCCATTTTATGGTGATCTTACTTTTTGTGGGCCAGTAACAGCTCTTTGTGAAGCTCCTGATGGCTCCTTGAGGCTTTCACCGGGTTGTTCAGGTTCCAGGGGCCCTCAGCAATATCACATTTATCTGCATTTTCTTAGACACAAAAGTTATTTCTGCAAGATTCTACAAGACACACTTTTCATGTCACTGTCTGTGAAAAACACCAGGACAACGCACCTCGATTATCGCCATGATGATGCAAAGAACTACAATCAAATGTGTCTGTGGGCGTCTTTGCTCTGGACTGTGCTGGTCTGCTGGAGTTGGAGACGTGGTTGTGTCCTGCGAGGCTGTTGGATAAGGCATTTTTGAGTTCTTGTTCGGACGGTCTAGTCGGGAGTGTTTGTGAAGCGGCCGATCTCATTGCACACTTGGGTATCAAGAAGAGCCCTCAGCCAAAGCTCCTGCTGCATGCTGGGAAACTGTGCATTGGGGTCGTCAACGAAAGCAAAGAGAGTAACAAGATGGGAGAGATAGAGTTTCACCTAAGTGGGGATCTATAATTTATCAGCTGGTCAAATGCCTGCCAGCTCAAATGATTTATTTGTCATTTCAAGCAAAACCAGAATTGCCAGCTGACAGATAAATGCATTTTCATGCAAGTGGATACGAAGATATATTAGAAATTTTGACTGAAAAAATACATTTATATACTACAAACATCTGTATATAGGAATGGACACACAACAATATTGTATTTAAAAGCATTACAAGAATCATAATCACAGTTTTGACTTACAGAAAGGCATCAGAACAAAATGAAACACCAAAATGCAATGAATAATTCACTCAGATGTTGATTCCAGTCTAGACATGTTGTAAACCTCATCATCCAGGAGTAATGACATTATTATGGAAAATAACACTTGAAACAAACTTGAAATCCGTTTATATAGCGGATAAGCTGTACTATGAATATGGAAGGCGTAGTTCTGAACTCACCGAAAGTGTGTCACCGCTCCATGAGCGAGGTCCCCTGTGAGCAGCAGCGAGTGCAGGCTATCTGTTTACCTCACAACAACACAGGGGACACCTGAGAGGGAGAGAGGAGCCACTTCATCTCGCTGTCCGTCCACGTGAGGCGCACTTCACTTGTACGCCGCTTGGGGGCAGTGAGTGAACGACGAATCCAACGAAGGATCAAAAAGGCGCACGGATAGGCCAAATATTGTACACATAAATAGTGTGAATAGTGGGCTATTTTATGTTTAAAATAACGTACCTTAATGAGATGAGGGCTCCTGTTATATCAGTAGCCTAATAAAAGCTGTTTTATTCTGAATGGAGGCAGGTTAGAGCACATGACCAACGCTCTTTATCGGACGCTTTCGCTTATAAAATAAAATAATTATGGCTGCAAATGGTGCATTTCGCATGAGCTTAACTAAAAAGCAGAGGTGTGTTTAAGTACTAAAATGCTATTAAGAACGTCTGTTGAATTACATTTTGATGAGAAAATTACTCTGATACATTCCTTCAGACCCTTTCGATATATTTGCGTTGAAGGAAAAGAGCCCAATAAGAAGCGCTGGCTCTTTGTCAGCTGAGTAACAAAAGAGTCGTTATACTGAGCTCAGGGATCTTTTTACTTCGGGAAGTAATGACAAAAACTGACCCCTCTGACTAAAGATGTGCAAATGTCAAACTAGAGGGCACAAAACCCTCAAACCTGAAATATGACTCTGGGAATTAACTCCGAGGGAAGTGAAACACTTGGAATTGTGATGAAGGGAAAGTGAAATCAAACAGGGTTACTGGTTATTAAATCTGTCAAGATTAAAAGACTAACAGCTCAATATGTTTAATTATCTAAAATTTTAAACACAATCACATTTCAAAAACAAGTATCTAAAATCTCCAAACACAACTACATTACTTTTAAATGCTAGATTAGGTTATAAGCACATGAACATACAGTATGGGTCATAGTAAATGGGATAATTTCTGATGTTTAAAAGAAAGCATTAGGTGATGTGTAACCATTCAGTGACATTTTTACCATCATCTTGCTGCACGGTTATTATCATGAACTAAAACCTTAAAAAACATTTTCATTACTTGAAATAAAATAAACTAAAACTACATGAACTAAAACTTAAAATATACAGACATATAATATATATATATATATATATAACACCAAAACGGAATTTCTACAATTTTAAAATTAAAATGAAAACAAAATATAACTGCTTGACATGTCAAATCATCCTCAATACGACAGACAAAAGACAACAAATACACGAACATTGAAAACTTTATTTTTTTTTCACCACATATTTAAGACAAGTCCTGATATTGTGTGGAAATTACCATTCTGTACTGAACAATACAATATAAAAGAAAATCAGCGTAAAAAAATAAAAACAATAAAAATACAATAGGAAGCATTTTTTTTTTCAATATGGAAATGACGATGAATATCGAAAACGAGATGAAAGTGTTGACAGGCAGGTCCACACGACATCTGACAAATAATTACGGTTCTGACAAGCACAGTGAAATATTGTTTTTAACAAAAAAAGCCTATTGGGGAATGTAATATTATCTGTACTGTTCATACATGCACAAACAAAGTCCATAATTTGTCTTAAAACAACCTAGACCATAATCATCAATTCAATAAACAAAATATTAAACCAATTATCTGCAAATCTTCACTCAAAACATCAAAGTATTAAGGCACTATTTTAAATCCTATTACAATTTTTTCCCTGTCAATGTGTTCCCCTTTGACATGAACCCAACCATTACAAGTTTGCCACTGTCCTACTAAATAAATCACATTTGTCTAACAGTGCTGATGGTTAACTCTGTGTTATAGGTAGAATAAACTGGCAGTTTGGTAATTTGCTTTTTTTTTTTTTTGCATGAGCTAATTAGCAGCAAATGTCTTTGAACCTCTGCATAGTTGATTGTTCTGCTTTCTGGTTATATGGTTGTTGTTTTCCCACTTCACTGTAGCAGTCTTTAAATGCCAGGGCAAGTTATATGTCAATAACCAATAACAAACTCTCTAGACTTAGTAGAAGCGCACAACTGGTCAGTTAAACCAGAGGAATGTCCTCCATGATAGTTTTTAATGGCTAAAACCAAAACAAGGTATGTTTATCTATGGCCAGTATAAGAAAAGGTCAGTCACAGCCAGACTAAACAGTACTGATCTCCAAGAGTTTTTGCTTTCAGTATCTTGAAGCTGAACGACTTGATCCAAACAAACAGAAGACAACCATATGGAAAAACAGGCGAGAGAGGGGGTGGGAGGAAGGCACAAGAGATCCAATGAGGTGAGGTCTGATGAGGAGGAGGAGGATGCTGGGACAGGTCTGCAGGATAAGGGTGTTCATGAACTGGGCATGAACATGGTCCATGTGTACTGGAGCACAGAGGGAGACACAAGGTGGTTTTCATCTCTGCAAAGACAGAGTGAGACACAGTGAGTCAAAAGTGTTCATCCATACAAATGCTGAGCTGATATTAGAGACAGGAGAGAATAAGATAGGAAACAACAACTGACAGTTTTAAATTATGAAGAAAACTATCACTTAAAGCTTAAAAGAACATTCTGGGTTCAATGAAGGCTTAATTACACATAAACATTACAAAAAGACCGATACTGCATCATAAACTTCCATTTCAAGTAAATTTCCACTAGTATGTTTCTCCAGATTTTTTGCATAATGTAATAGTACCATATCATTTATCCACAATATTAAAGATTTTATAATTGACCCATATTGGTTGATACTACATTTAATTTTGATAATTTCTAAATTTTTTTTTTACCTTGGCCGTCAACTAACACTAATTTAAAGTTTAAAAACACTAGCAATTTAATAACACTGTAATTTTTACCAACTCTCAAAATTAATAACCATTTTTCACACTTTACATCATAACGGTGTGATGTCTAAATTCACTTGCAGCATTTAAAATTAGATTTTTAGTTTTAATATTATATTTATTATCCAGTTAGACAAAATTTTAGTATTGCCAATCATCATTTATCAGCCATAAAATTAAAATAATTATTAACTAGTTATCAACAATAATTTTAATATTCAATCTATCAACCAGTTTTTATTTCTGAAGAATCATGTGATACTGAAGACTGGAGAAAATTCAGATTTGCCATCAAAGGAATAAATTACATTTTAACATTGAAATATTACAAATATTTCACAATATTACTGTTTTTACAAAACCAGATGATGAACCCCAAATGTAACATGATTTATTAAAAAAAACTGATGCAGAGAATTTGCAGGTATTTTTTACACTGTTATGAGTGCTTTGATGAAATGCTCAACCAAGTGAGTTGAATTTTGAACTTCCTTATGTATTTTTTTTAATCGCTTTATCATGGTTGTGAAATTTTGTTATTCATGTGATGTGTCAGCAGGCAACAACTGATAAGTTACGTGGCTCTGAACTTGGTCTGGTGTGTGTAAGTGCGAGTTGATCTTTTTGCTGCATCAACCTCTTTGCTGTTTTCTGAGTTGATCTTGTTTCCCCTTAATCTCACGACTAGGATTCAAGACCATTTCCTCACCGAAGTCATGACATGAGTTTGAGTGGCTTGCTAACCTAGAGGATGCTTTTGTCCTACAGGGCCATTTCTGGTGCTTATCTGATGAACTGTGTGGAGTGGTTTGATCACTAGAAGATGCTACACTTGATGTTGCCTGAGGGAAAAATTTCGATTGCATCATAGACGCTGTATTTGAACATGCAAAACGACTAAAGGAAGTTCCTTCATCAGATCGAGATTTAGAGATGTTAGACCGCTTTTTGAGAAATGCACCTTCTACATTGGACTTTTTGGAAGGTTTTAAATCATTCTCCTCCATTGTAACTATGTCTTTTCTCTGATCCACCAGTTCTAGCTAATTGTGTGTCAAGGGCTTCGACTGAACATGAACCAACTTTGCTCACAGGAACAGATGTGCCACGTGTTTTAATAAACGTGTTACTGCGCAACGGTGCCGACACTTTCAGGCTATTTGCTTGCGATTCGTTAACTTTGGGTTATCGTGACTGGATAGCGAACGGTCCCAACCCTCCAGTAGAGTCATCTAACAAGTGAGACGAACTTGACCCGTAACTACGAATGAAAGTAGTGTTGCGCACAAGACCGACAGATGCTAAACTCTGCGTGGACATAGAGGACTCAGGTTCGTTTGAGGCAGAAAAAGACGAGCATGAGGAAGAAGAGGAGGGCGCACTTACGGGGCTGCAGTGAAGGCTGCGTGAGAGGGCCCTCATGTGGCTGCTCATGTTCTGCGAGCCAGCAGGCACTAGCACCGGACTGGAGCGTGGACTGCTTCTCATGGGGCTCCGCGGGGCTCGGCCTGATTTGGTCAGATGCTTGGTCCGGGAGTGGCGTGGGCTGCCACCGTTACTGAGAGGGGACAGAGAGCCCTCCAGGTCCTCCAGCCGCTGGGTCAGTGCCAGCTTCTGCTGAATGGCCATGCGGAGGAGAGAGTTGAGCGTCTTTTTCTCATCCTCAGCGGCGGCGAGCTGTCTCTGCATCTCAGCTAACTGAGTTACGTACTGGTCACATCTGTGAAAATGGTAAGGATACAGGAAACAGGAATGGAGATACATATAAAATGAAATAACGAAAGAATAAAAGGGATTACTTTTTGCATAAACATCCCTTATAAAAACACTTTAGTTTTTATTAGAAACTGATGCAAGAATGTGTAGAAGAGTATTGTCCTCATGAAAGCGCTACACACACACACACAAACCAGACCGAAACCCTTTGGTGTCTGAACAATAAAAAATATGAGTTTATGAGTAAAAACAAAATCAATACACAGTTAACAACCTTGATAACTAGTATTACTTGCAAAGGTAATCATCACTATTACTAATGCTACTATTGCTCATACTTTGGTTTAGTGATTAGTATGTAACTATGGCCTGTAACTTTTTAGGCACTGACTGTGTTACAGACATGACAGACAAATTGAGATATATATATATATATATATATACTGTATATACACACACATACATACATAGAATTTTTTATTTTAGTCTGGTGGTGGAAAAGTAGATGCATAAAAATTAAAAAATTAAAAATCAATCCTATTGACACTGAAAAGATATAGCAGTGAGCTCCTTTGACTTGGGCCAGTAACCAACTACCTAGTAACTAGTGGTCTTTTTAAAATGTCTGATAACGATATATACACTACCATTCAAAACCGTTTGGGGTCAGTAAGAATTTTTTTTAGCAAGGATTTGATCAATAAATGACAGTGAAGACATTTATAATGCTACAAATAAATGCTGCGGCTTTTGAACTTTCTCTTTATCAAAGAACTTTGAAAAAGGCTATCACAGTTTTCAGGTTTTCAACGTTGATAAGAAAATGTTTTTTAGCAGCAAATCAGCATATTAGAATGATTTCTGAAGGATCATGTGACACTGAAGGCTGGAGTAATGATGCTGAAAATTCAGCTTTGACATAACAGGAATAAATTACATTTGACAATAAATTAAATAGAAAATGATTTTAAATTGTAATAATATTACTGGTTTTACTCTGTTTTTGATCAAATAAATGCAGCCTTGGTGAGCATAAGAGACTTCTTTCAAAAACACTGAAAAAATTCTTACTGACCCCAAAGTTTTCACAGATAGTTCAATTTATTTAAAGATAATAAATAAAATGCACATCAAAATAGCAGCTATAAACTTTTTATTTGTTTTAATATTTACTAAAATCATTAAATAATGATAAAATCAATTGGTAAGTGTTTCAACAAGTTACGTGGTTGGCTGCAATCTTAAAAATCAGCTTTTATTTCCAAAGAGGTCTAGATTTTTCCTTGACTGAAAACCTTATCCTCGCTTCCACTACTCGTTGTTCCCTTGACACTTGATCTATGACTTGAGTTCTGAGTGAGCTGCTCTCGTCTGCACACGGGATCAGAGAGTGTGCACGTTAATCAGCATGTGAGAGGAGCTCGTGAGAGACCGGGCCTTGAGATTATAATCTTATTAGCTTGCTCTCAAAACAGGGTCATGACTGTCTAATCTCTATGACTCTCTTTCCAAAGTCCTCTCAGATCTTTCTATAAATGTAAACAAACACTGCCTGCATATCTTTTACCACCGTGCAGGTTGTTCTATGACTAAAAAGTCTCTATAAATCCTTACATCATGTCAGCTAATGATTTATGTATTCTCATGCAGCCCAAGACAACCAATCGGCAACTACTACAAATAAAAATGTAATGTTTTTCCTTAATTGATAAGGGAAAGCTGGAACTGGGAGAATCAACTTCTCCCATGAACTTATCTGCACTCTGTCCATAAATCAAACCAGTTTACAAACAACCAGTTTAACCTTAAAACCCCTATAATCACTCAATGTGCTGTACGAGCAATGAACTGAGAAACTCCTATGGCCCGTGAGCAAAACACTTGAGCACGTGTAATCCCATCATACCTGCTTGCGAACATGACCCGAAGGGAGGAGAAGGTGGCTGCATCCTCCTTTAGAGCCTTCAGTTCATTTCTCAGCTTCATCATCGTCTCTGTCACCATACTCTTCTCAGTCTCGTACTTTGTCTTCAGGTTGGTTAGAGCCAACTCAGCGGTCTGAGGAAAAAAAAAGTAAAGCAGTCATATGATCTGATTAACACTAAAGGAAACCATGTGCTCAAGAACATTCTCCAAACTGCATAGAGTAAAAGCCACACATTTTACACAACTATTCAATAAATACGCAATAAACACAGTGATAAACTGATATATTGGCCTAGTCAACCTTTTTCAAGAGTAACAGTAATGTCCATTAATGATTCCTGCTTGAATATTAAACAGAAGTGTTAGTTACTTTTGTATCTGCTCTGAAACCTACTGAGGTCCTCGTCAACAATACTTGTCTACTGCTTTTAAGTACTTTTTTTTATATTTAGTATGCATTCAATACGTTACATATCTTACATCTGTACCTGTTTATTGGCCTTTAGGACAGTTCTGAGGGTGGCTATCTGCTCTCTCTTGGTGCTCAGGAGGGACTTAAGTTTTAACACTTCCTCAATCAGTGCCTCCGTGTCACGGTCTGATTCAGTGCTCCCTCCTGCTGCTGGAGAAGACAACAGGTTACGCTGCCTGCACAGGTCCACCGCCACCTGGAAAGTAAAAATGTATTTATATAGCACATTTAAACAGTGGTGGCGACTAAAGTGCTAGAAAGAGTGAATTACAACACAATATAAAATTCATAGCATACATATAAAAATAATCATGAGCATAGTATAAAAACATAAAAATGTGTCAAAAATGCCAATAAAGCAAAGCCTTAGATTTAGATATTGATATGATTTCAACATTATTTTTTTTCTTGAGTTGAATAAAAGCAAAAGTGCAGCTATAATCTGAATGTTGTTGTTAAAACAGATTCAGGCAGGCATCGTAAGGCAGCCTGGTCTAATCGGTTCATATTTCATGCTTTACCTCCACCAAAAAAGCTGCTTAAAGGCTTAAATGAAATGTTTCAATGATGAGCTATAATTTTATTCAGCTGTCTTTATTTAAGGAGCATTTTAGGATACATTAAAACGAAAATTCTTGTGTGTACACTTCCTTATATTACCTTTTAATGTTAACTAGCATAAAGAGCTGAGACCAAGGTTGGAAATTAGGCACTTGGGGCAAGTGAGCAATTAAACTAAATCTGAAACTAAAACTAAATCTAAGGCTATCACGATTAAAGTGAAATGGGAAAATGAATGAAAAGTGAACAAGAAGTGACAAAAGTGTTTCCGACACTGGCTCAGACATACATACCTGTAAATGTTTAATCTGGCAGCGTATGATAGCTACCAGATTGCGCACATTGTTTGGGTCCCTGAAGTCTAGTGTAGGAGACCCTGGACAACTTCCGCAGCTAGATGATGTGTCTCCACTCCCTCTGCTGCCCAGGTCCAACACTTCACCCGACCGCCTGTGCCTACGGAGGGATCCGCGATAGTTGTGCGGTTGTGAATGGTTGTGCGTTCTCCCGGCTTGTGCTCCTTCACGGTAGTAATCCAGTGTAACACGACTGGGCGTGAGGTTGTTACAAACACACACGTGATGGTAAAGGTTGGCCAGCTCCTCAGAGAAAGCCAGAAGCTCCTCCTGTGCAGCACTGAGGTGGCCTTCAGAGTCAGTGGCGACCTGGCGCGTGACACCAATTTCCCGTTCCAACTGTCCTATTCGCTCCTGGTCCTGTCGGCTAGCAGCGATACACTGTCGTATTTTATCAGCGAGTTCCTGTGCCTCACCCCTCCAGTGTTCTTTCTTCTGCTTGTAGCGCTCCTCCAGAGCTTTGGAGCGTTCGCCAGCCTCTTTCAGCTCCTCATGCAGACGCGCAAGCTCCTCATTTGCCGCTTGCATGCGGCACTCTAGCACCTCCGTGCTTTTTGCATCCACTTCGTAGTAGCTGATGCCATTTTCAGCTTCTTGGTTCTGAAGAGACCTAGGAGGCGGGCTCATTCCATTCTCTCGTTCAGCAGGCCTTTTCGAGGCCATACTCTGAAGGGTCTCCAAACGCTGGGTCAGCTGATCCATCTTCACCTGTTGCTCACTGAGAGCATCTTTAGACTGGGTTAACTGCTGCTGGAGATCATGCACGGTGCTGCTCAGTGTGGCTTTCTCTCTCTCCACCTGGATATGGGTACACAAACCCATATGACAAGATTATTCTGATTAACTCAATCCAAGCTTTTTGGATAGACAACAACACTCGAGAGAAACTTACTAAAGAGACTAGAACTAAAGTCTCTTGTTGCTTAGTAACTGACTTGATGGTACAGTACACAGTACATCCTGAACAGGAAGTGGTATGAAACAGGAAGTAGTAGAGTTAAAAATAAAAAAAAACGACGACCATTTTACAGGCATTTACATCATGGGGTTCAAATCTTTTAATCTTTGGTCTGAGGTCGGAGATCTGAAGAGATGGACATCAACCAATATGAACCTTGAAACAGGAAGTAGTAGAGTTAAAAATAAAAAAAACCCATGACCATTTTACAGGCATTTACATCATGGGGTTCAAATCATGGGGTTCAAATCTTTTAATCTTTGGTCTGAGGTCGGAGATCTGAAGAGATGGACATCAACCAATATGAACCTGGCTACTCATCGACTTTACTTGCTCCCCTGATTTATACACATCCTCAAGAATATGGTATATCATTTTCATGAAACCTTGCCAGGTATCCATAGTAACTGTTTTATAAAAGCAATAAGCCAGGGATGTGGTGATTTACAGTAATTTTAGAACAGCTAAGGGGTTTTTAGGGTCTCCGTTCTGTGTCGTGCCTGACAACACTGTTGTTCTAAATTCATTGTAAACCACTGCTCCACGAGGCCTATTGCTATATTACAGGTTGGCTGAGTGTAGAATTTCCAATGCAACATTGAGCAGATCTATTGTCCAATAAGTAAAACATGCATCGGATACCTAATTTGCAAAGTTAAATTTGTATGTCAGGGTATGCAAAACAAGGTCAGGAAGGAAAACACAAATACACACAAATAATTCTCAGAAAGTCTCCAGTAATGAACCTTTGATATAAAAACACTGCAACAGCTCATCAAGTGAGTGAGGGGCATGTAGGATGTGAAGAGGTTTCCTCACCTGCAGCAGCTGCTGCTTGAGTTTCTGGCTGTCTGACAGGTGCAGTTCACTCAGGAGATCGGCCACCAGCCCAGGTGCCTGAGGTCTTAGGAACACATCGCTGTTTCTGGGTGTGGAGCACCTGTTTCTCTCCATCCCTTTGGAGTTATTATACCCACTGTCCATCTCCTCCTCCTCCTCTCCTGCCTCCTTCTCTTTCTCTCCATCCCGGCTGTCATCCAGCTGTAACTCTAAGTGGCCAATAGAGTCAAAGGGGTTGAGGGTAAGGGCGGCGAGCTCTCGTCTCAGGCTGTTCTTCTGCTCCCTCTCCTCTTTCAGGGCCTCGAGTGCCTCGTCCAGCTGACACTCTGCAATCTCCCTCAGACGCCCAGCCTCTTCTAGCTGTGCCCTCATCAGCTCCAGCTCCTCATCTTTATGGGTCAACTCCAACTTCACTGACTCAAACTCCACCTGTGGACACAAATGTAGATGTTTAATATGTGATCGTCTCTCTAAATCTAGTTGTAGTAGTAAAGCACATATATTTGTATTATGTGTTGAAAAACTAGGTATAAAGATTTCAAAGACTTGAATATTTAGTTTGGATGAAAAGTTTGAACTTTTTAACCAAACTTGCCAGTTTAAACATGAAAACCAGTGTTATTGTTTACATACTATTATAGTATTTATTTAACATTCTGAATTAGCTTCTATTTTTATATATACAGTGTTTATTTTAGTTAATAATCATTTAATAATTGTGCCTTTGTCATTTTATTAGTGTGTGTTTGTGTGTGTGTGTGTGTGTGTGTGTATGTGTGTGTATATATATATATATATATATATAATGTCTTTAATGTATTTTTATTTCAGTTTCATTTTAGTAATTTTAGCACTTCAACCTTAACTTGAAAGACTGTTACCTTGACAATTAACAAAAATAATTTTTTCTTCTAATATTTCTATTGTATTTTTAGCAGTGAAAACATCAAGAAACTACAATTTTGACTAGGGCTAATAGAAGCCATACTCTGCAACGTTCCACTTGTCTACATCCTATGTAGCTCCCTTCCCCCAAAACATACCAGCACAGTACTAACTTGTTAGGCTGGATAAGCCTGCCTTTACTGATCTGGCATCATATAACTAATGACCACAGTAATACACAAACCATAACTATAATATTGACTGATAACTAGTTCCCATTTCTATAAACACAGATAAAAATTACAGTGGGGTCATTCCCTGTTAAATCAACCAAATTTCAGAAACTTTTTGATTTTGGACATTTACGGCACCCCCCTAATATAATGGCAGGGGAACACTGAATATTCCTGGAATGGAACCATATAAATGGAATGGAGCCTTAAAATGAAGTTAGAGGCATGCAAACTTTGGGAAAAAAAACTTGAAAAGTGCTTTTTGCCATTTTTGAATGGTCACCACTGGTGTATAATGCATCGAATATTGCTAAAGTCAACAGATTTTACTAATAGACCTACCAATCTCTGTAAAAATAATATAATGATGCTGCCATCTTTCAAAAGCCATTTTGCCAGACATGGAATGACCTAGTAAATCAAGCCATATCTATATCCACTTCATAACATCATATCCGTTGCTGGACTATTATGCCACTCTCTACAACTGAGTTCACCCCTGCAAGTGACACCCATATTTACATTAAAATCACATAGTTTGTAAACAGGACTGAATAACTAGTTCAATGCAGTGCATTTTGACAGCATTAATATCAAAATATCTCCAAACCAATTTAAAGAAAGAGTTCACCCAAAAATGAGAAACTGCTGAAAACTGACACACCCTCAGACCATCCAATATGAGTTTGTTCCTTCTTTGGAACAAATTTGGAGATTTTATTTTTTTTTTATAAAAAAGATTTTACGTAATTGTGGCATCCATAACTGTAATTATTTAGAAATTCGATTAATTGTGCAGCCCTAATTAGAGCTAATGGCATTAACTCACAACTTGCTGACACATAATTGTGAGTTAATGCACTATAACTAGTCTAGTTATTGAAGTCAAGTCTTAAGGACAACTCAGCTTAGCTTATTTGTATACTGTCTGAATTCACCCTGAGCAAACCGGATTTTAGTCCAACAGGGAAGGCGTTACAGTCTCTGAGTGACTGTGAATATTCATGCGGGATGTGAATAAAACCTTTCTCGTGTGCAGTCCCTCAGAAGGAAAGTTTTGTTAAAAATCAGCTGTGACAGCAGCTGCAAAAAACGCATTCAAAGTCGCAAGACATCTCTAGCGAAGCAAATTCCACAAGCAAAGACTTATGTCCAGCAAAAGCTAAAAGAAAGTGCTTAATGTGACATGTTGAATTGCATTAGAGGGCTACTATGACATATTTATGGAAAAAGTTGGATATTCAATAAATACAGAAAACAACAACACAAACAATACTTAAGTATGAGATCTGCATTCTCACACACCTGGTTCTCCTTAAGCACTGAGACTTGTTTCAGCAGGGAGATGTTCTCCTCTTCCAGCTCACTGTTATCCTGAAGCTGCTGCACCTCTCGAGTCTTGTACTCCTTCATCTCCTCTCTCATTCGGGTTTTCTCTACCTCCAAACACTCACACTCCTGGAGTGTCAGACAGGGAAGTCCATAAAACTCAGAATAAACCAAACAAAAATAATTACATCTGCACAATTACAATTAGATGGTGGTAGCTGTATAAAATGCTGCAGCTTTAGTGTTTATGGTCTCTTTGTTCCATTTAATACAAATTCTCTAAAAGGATGGTTCAAACAAAATGTATTTTATTGTGTCATGATTTACATGTTCACATCGCATTTCAGGCCTTACTTCAGAATATAAAAGATGAAGTTTAGTAGTCCCAGGTGCATTTTCTCATACAATTAAACTGAATCAAAGCAGCCACTGACGTCAAACCTGGCGTGACACATTTTAATGCACTATATTTTTGCAGAGATTGCAAGGATATTTAGAATAGGAAACATCTCATCTCTCATGAGAGGGCAGATAAGATTTTATTATTAAAGAACTTTCCTTTAAAAGTAGAAATTATTCATTTCGTCCAGTACAATACTTCAGTAAGTAGTTCACTATGGCCTTTCTTCTCTTCAAGCTGACATTGAAACTCAACACGGTTTTGTCACATGATCAGGCCTCACGAAAACAAGGAGTCTTATTACCACTTTTACTTTGATCAGCAAGCGAGCCAGCAAAGGGTATGTTATTCAGTGGCATTTTAGCTCAGAACATTTCATTTTTTTTTTTTTTAAACGAATCTCACTGTGCAGCTCATATAAAAAGTAAGGGGTTCATTGGACTTGTGGTTGGGAACGCACATGCAAACACAGGCCTTCTGATTGATGGTAGTGTATGTACCTTCTTCAGCTGGGTGGAAAGGCCAGCCAGTCTGTCATTTTCAGCCGAGGCATTGGCCAGCATGACACGGGCCTGTTTAAGCTCATTTAGAAATTCGATTAATTGTGCAGCCCTAATTAGAGCTAATGGCATTAACTCACAACTTGCTGACACATAATTGTGAGTTAATTCACTATAACTAGTCTAGTTATTGAAGTCAAGTCTTAAGGACAACTCAGCTTAGCTTATTTGTATACTGTCTGAATTCATCCTGAGCAAACCGGATTTTAGTCCAACAGGGAAGGCGTTACAGTCTCTGAGTGACTGTGAATATTCATGCGGGATGTGAATAAAACCTTTCTCGTGTGCAGTCCCTCAGAAGGAAAGTTTTGTTAAAAATCAGCTGTGACAGCAGCTGCAAAAAACGCATTCAAAGTCGCAAGACATCTCTAGCGAAGCAAATTCCACAAGCAAAGACTTATGTCCAGCAAAAACTAAAAGAAAGTGCTTAATGTGACATGTTGAATTGCATTAGAGGGCTACTATGACATATTTATGTAAAAAGTTGGATATTCAATAAATACAGAAAACAACAACACAAACAATACTTAAGTATGAGATCTGCATTCTCACACACCTGGTTCTCCTTAAGCACTGAGACTTGTTTCAGCAGGGAGATGTTCTCCTCTTCCAGCTCACTGTTATCCTGAAGCTGCTGCACCTCTCGAGTCTTGTACTCCTTCATCTCCTCTCTCATTCGGGTTTTCTCTACCTCCAAACACTCACACTCCTGGAGTGTCAGACAGGGAAGTCCATAAAACTCAGAATAAACCAAACAAAAATAATTACATCTGCACAATTACAATTAGATGGTGGTAGCTGTATAAAATGCTGCAGCTTTAGTGTTTATGGTCTCTTTGTTCCATTTAATACAAATTCTCTAAAAGGATGGTTCAAACAAAATGTATTTTATTGTGTCATGATTTACATGTTCACATCGCATTTCAGGCCTTACTTCAGAATATAAAAGATGAAGTTTAGTAGTCCCAGGTGCATTTTCTCATACAATTAAACTGAATCAAAGCAGCCACTGACGTCAAACCTGGCGTGACACATTTTAATGCACTATATTTTTGCAGAGATTGCAAGGATATTTAGAATAGGAAACATCTCATCTCTCATGAGAGGGCAGATAAGATTTTATTATTAAAGAACTTTCCTTTAAAAGTAGAAATTATTCATTTCGTCCAGTACAATACTTCAGTAAGTAGTTCACTATGGCCTTTCTTCTCTTCAAGCTGACATTGAAACTCAACACGGTTTTGTCACATGATCAGGCCTCACGAAAACAAGGAGTCTTATTACCACTTTTACTTTGATCAGCAAGCGAGCCAGCAAAGGGTATGTTATTCAGTGGCATTTTAGCTCAGAACATTTCATTTTTTTTTTTTTTTTAAACGAATCTCACTGTGCAGCTCATATAAAAAGTAAGGGGTTCATTGGACTTGTGGTTGGGAACGCACATGCAAACACAGGCCTTCTGATTGATGGTAGTGTATGTACCTTCTTCAGCTGGGTGGAAAGGCCAGCCAGTCTGTCATTTTCAGCCGAGGCATTGGCCAGCATGACACGGGCCTGTTTAAGCTCTGTCTGCAGCTCATCCATGCGAATCTCCATGACTGCCTCTTTAGTGGCCGACTCCTGCAATAGCCTCTCTTCTCGACTTTCCCCATCTGCAGCTGCACGCTTATGGCTGCTCACAGAGTCTGTTAGAGCCTGTAAACATATACACATAAAACACTCATCTCCATTATAGCCAACACACTAAGTTACACTAGCAGAGGTTTTGCCAGTTCCCAACAAAACAAGAAACAAAACAATGACTGACTAAATGAACAAGCAACACTGACATAATTTACGGCCCCTCCGCTACTTTGTGTGAATTTCTGAAATTCTTCAAATGAGAACAGCAGAGCTGTTGAAAGTTAAGTTGTCAGTCTTTAATTATTTGAGTAATTTGTTTACTTGCCTGACCAATAAACAACGGCAACTGTATTGAGAGCTGGCGAAGCGAAACTCTATACGTTACCCATGACACTACATTACATTCTAGCTTCCAGAGTGTGTTATTACAATGTGTTAAGTTCATGCTAAGGCCGCTGTAGTGCTTGAACAAACGGTAACAAACGTACACCAGATTGTCACACACTGAACTGTTACAAGATGAATCAATCAACAATGGCAAAGATGTCATTAACGTAGCAAAACACTTTTCTCTGAACATTGTAATTTAAGTCGTGTGAGAACATGTGGGAAAAACATGCTTGTGCTACTCCATAATTAATAATGAAAGACTGAAGAGGGGGAAGTGATTTGTGCATGAGAGAGCCTGTAAGAGATGTGCAGGGGAATTTATACTTCTGTTCAGTAAATGTAAAAGCAGGACATGCTGTTTAAAAGACTAGTTCACCCAAAAATAAAGATGCGCTTTTCCTCATGTCCCTCAAAATGACATCCATGTGTGACACACAAAAGCAGATGTTAGAATATCTCAGCAGATCTTTTCCATAAAGCAAAAGGTGATGTATAATGCCAATATAATACACAAAAGTATCACACATGTTTTTTTTTCTAGCACACTAGACCCAGATCTGTGCACTCTGTCCAGTCATCTCACTCTACCACACTCACCTACTTTGCCAATTTCATGCTCTACTAATCAGACACACAGAAAGAGAAATACATGAGTCTAATCTTCATCAGAGGGGTGGGTCTACAATGTGCCTCATATGTGAACTTCATATATAAAATGAGTGACATATTAGCTCGGCAAACCAATAATACATAAGCACATGTAAATCCCTCAATATGTGCTAATTCTGAATTATTGTAAAATACTGAAAGCATGGATTTCAGTGCACAGATTTATGTAATAAATCAGATAACAAAGAGAGCCAAAAAGGCCCATGCATACCAGGCTTACAGCCTATTTGTTTTCTACTTTGGCCATGGACCATGTAGACATTCTGGTTAGTCCTCTGGTCCCAAAGAACTATTCATGTTATGTAATTAACACTTCACCTAAATATCAAGTTTTGATTTGGTACATTTGTTACATGAGATCTGCAGGGAAAAGCTCTTGCAAATTTAGCCATTAGGCAGTACCATCATACCCAAATTGACCGATCAACCTAAAATGAAATGACAATATGATTTTTGGCCAAATTGGGCAGCCCATCACAGGGATACTGGAAAAACTTATTGTTTATTGATAGTGAATGGTAGCCACTGCTTCTTGGTCCCTATCCACTTTTATTATATAGGGAAAGAGCAGCTTTGACATTGTGCTAAATATCTTCTTTTCTGTGCCACAGAAGAAAGACTGGTACATGTTGGTTTGCAACAACATGATGACAAGAACTATCAATAAGCTTCTTCTAAACCTTCCGATTTCAGTGCACAGATTTATGTAATAAATCAGATAACAAAGAGAGCCAAAAAGGCCCATGCATACCAGGCTTACAGCCTATTTGTTTTCTACTTTGGCCATGGACCATGTAGACATTCTGGTTAGTCCTCTGGTCCCAAAGAACTATTCATGTTATGTAATTAACACTTCACCTAAATATCAAGTTTTGATTTGGTACATTTGTTACATGAGATCTGCAGGGAAAAGCTCTTGCAAATTTAGCCATTAGGCAGTACCATCATACCCAAATTGACCGATCAACCTAAAATGAAATGACAAATTCTACATGACACTGATAAACAGGGAGAACAGGTGACTGAAAATAAAGAGTACTACTGTCCAGACAAAACATTTGAGTATGCAAACTATCCATCTGTAAGACCACAAGGATATGAATCACACAGAGAAGACAATGCTTCAGATTATTCAACAGAAGATGAGCAAAGAAAAATATCACCAAGCTGATTGTGTAACAGCTAAAAGACACAAGTCTTCTCAATTCTTGATTGTTATATGGACAAAATCTCTTTAAAAAGCATTCAAATTTGGTTGCAGGTCTGTTCTGATAGGGTCACCATGGAAAAAAAGCAGATAAACCCATATTTTGATAACTCTGATGTGAAAGGTTGTGTGTCCAAAACGAACAAATCCATCTGTTCTTAGAAGCCAACAAGAACAGGTTGTGATAGGCCCTCATCCTCAAAAATGATAAACAAAATTACTCAAGGTAATAGGAAATATGACCCATATTACATTTAATACAGGTTTACTTGTTTCAATAATAAACATGATTTGTGTTGACCACAATATGTTCTGTGTGGTGAATTATTGGCTACTGAGAGCAAGAAACCACTGAAAATCAAGAGACATTTAGGCAACAAATACTCTAACCTATGCCATAATGAATCATTTAAATCATTTGCAGAAATGAATAAATTACAAATTCGAGTACAATAAACCATTTTGCGAATCACTGGCTGGAAAAAAAGCTCCTTGTTTCATGCAGCATTTCCTCAATAGCTTAATTTAACCTCTACCCCTTTTCCTTCTTTCTATCTGTCTCTCTCTTGACTGACCTCTTTGAGCTGTTGCACTTCCATCTTAAGGGCTTCATGATCTTCCTCCAGCTGGCTGTGTTTGATCTTCAGTGCAGCACTCTCCTCCAGAACGGCCAGGCCGTACCGTGCAGCCTGTAACTTCTCCTCATTGGCTTCCTGGAGTTCTGCAGCCAGCCTGTCCACCTCTGCTTGGAGCCCCCCGTCTCCTCCTCCTCCGATCCCCTCCAACTCTCCATCACTCTCCTCCAGCATCCTCTGCCCAACCTCACGCTCCGGCCGAGAACAGATACTTTACTCCTGTCTTGTCATGTCTGTAAGAAGACAGATGTTAAGGCCTGTTCAGACCAAGAATGATAATTATAAAGATAACTGCAACAATAACTATATTTTAGCATCCACACAAATGCATGATAACATTGTTTATTACTAGCACATATTACAGCATTTAAATGCTCAATCTCATTAAAGTTGGGTGGATTCTGATTGTCAATGTTTTATTGTTCACCAGATGGGAAAAAAAATTCTGAAAGTGTTTTGGGCCGCTTCTACCACGCAATTTGGAAATGCAACATCCACCAACCACCTTCTGAAATGAAAATGAAAAGCTCTTATAAACCAGCTGTAGATTTTAGATTTAAAGGATCTCTGTAGTTTTCCCTCAAAATAAAAGTTGTTTAAAGTTATGGTAAAAGTTAAGGTTTACCATTTAAAAAAAAATTAATTAATTAAAGACAGCCAAAAATATTAGTATTGTAATTTTACAGTTATAATGTAAAATAGAATTATTATTAGGTTTTATTATAGAATTTTTCTTAAATACTACACAGAAGAAAGACTGGTACATGTTGGTTTGCAACAACATGATGACAAGAACTATCAATAAGCTTCTTCTAAACCTTCCGCACAGCTCAAAGGCCTTAGACGTAACATTATTATGAGATTATCAGCGCTGCTAATCTGGCATTCAGTGAGACGCTCGCTCATCAGACCAGCAGGACACAGTCGAATGAGATTTACTCCAGCAGCTTAAAACACTTTTGCACTTTCACTGCAGCAGGCAATGCCATCTAATGACATGATGGTTTTACATGGATTTTTGAAGGGACAGCTCACCCAAAAATGAGAATACGTCATCATTTACTCAACCTCATGCTGTTCCAAAAACACATGACTTTCTTTTTACTGAACAACACATAAGGATAATGACCGTTTAAGTCACATTCACTTTAATGGTGGCGGAAGTTTCATTTTTGGGTGAGCTGTCCCTTTAACAGCATCCAGTATATGTCAGCGTAAACTGAACGTTTCCAAATAAGACACACCGACAGTTCTTCCTTTACTTCTGCCTCACATAGTCACATATTAACACAAGCTGTGCCAATTTTTGAAATTAGGTTCCGGTTTTGTCAAGAAGCGTCTATATTTGGTGGTTTATTGACATGTACAGGAAGTATTTGATTACATTGCATTGTATGTGATTCTACTTCACTACAATACACGAATTGGGTTGGTCAGACTACGAAAGCTCATTGTTATTAAAAATACGTTAATCATGATTTTACAAGGCGACTTTGAAAGTGACAAAACCCTATGAGGTAGTTTGTCAACAGTTTGTTGTAGCCACAATGCTAACTAACATATTAAATATTACGGTTTTCCTGGCTTTAGCAACACTTTACAAGACACCCTTTCTAGTAACGTTAAATATAAAGTGTCAAGGGGTCATGTATGGGCTCAATACATCCGCTTTATTTCTTCATTTGCTACAAGGTTCGGTTTAGCGTTAGAGAAACTGTCAGCTGGCGCTAGCTAAAGACAAAAAGGTCGCTTTTAATCGTTTCTCACCTTTATATTTGGATGGCAGAATCATGTAGCTGACGGATGAAACATGAATTTGAGCCCCTTTCCCTGCGCGCGCTCCAGAAGTCAGCCGTTTGAATGAGTGCACGAGCTCAACTCTGGAGAGCAGCTCAGCTCAGCAGCCAATGACGCGCGTCCACTTCCGCCTCAGCTGCAGTGAACAGTGAACACGAGCGGATGTGGTTCCGCCGCTGAATACAATTAAGATTAAGCTGTCACGTACAATACAAAAGTGGAAGTCAAGTCAAGTCACCTTTATTTATATAGCGCTTTTAACAATACAGATTGTGTCAAAGCAACTTTACAGTATTAAATAGGAAAATAGTGTGCCAATAATCGTAAACACTCAGTTTTCAGTTACAGGCAGTTCATTGAATTCAGTGATGCCATCATCCAGCTCAGTTCAGTTTAAATAGTATCTGTGCAATCAAGCCGACGATATCGCTGGATATTAAGTGAAAGGTTTTAACGAATATTTGAAGATTACGTTTATGTGATTTTTCTTAAATTAAGTACTGTCACACGAAACATCATGTGCACAATAATATTTGCATGAAAAGGAATTAACATAAGCTGCGTCCCATCTCCCAAATGACGCTACACTATGCGCTCATTCTTATGCACTATGCACTCAACCATGTAGTGTATGAATTATAAGGTTATCTTGTCATTCATTATCGGAATCTGATAGCCCCTCCCCCTTCGCTACGTAATTAAAGCTGCAACGTTCGTGTTTTTTTTGTTGTTGTTGTTGTTGTTGTTTAAGTGCATCATCCGGGTATTTAAAGTGCACTTTTTCTTTTGGGAATTTTCAGTGTGAATGCACTACTCGCATTATTTATCCTACAAAACGTCATAGTGCATAAGTACATGATTTGGGACGCATCTATAGTACCAAAGGATGTACCTGAACTGTACCTAACCTACCACCGATAAACTAGCCTACTAAAAAAGGCCACATACATATTGTTTCTACCAATGAGCATACACTACACTACATCCATTTGATTTGTCCATATAAGGCAAGTCTCGGCGGCCATCTTTGAAACGCCTCTGGGCATTCAAGCACAGCTCCTATCTCTTTGAATGGGGAAACATCAAATTCAACAAAACTGTTCGCCAAGCTTACTATTAAATTTCATATTTGAAATCACCAGTGAAATCTGACAACAACGGCCTCATAAATGTTGTTTCTTTTGCTCAAATATTGTTAAAAAAGCTTATTTTTCAGGCTAGACCAGCCGGTGCCACTCCCATTGCATTTTACCCCATTCAAAACTATACGAGTGACACGTCTTGGGTATTCTATAGTCTAATACACACACTGCTAAATAGATTTAACAAAGCTGCTTTAAGCGGTAATAAGAACATCTCTGGATTTAACTGTTTTATGAAAACCAGTTTGAAGCAAATGTCTTTCATGGCCTCTCCAATTATCATATACAAAAGATAATATACAACATTTGGGGAAACTATGAATATTCTCAAAACTGCAAGTTCCCAAATGCATAGTAGGCCCACTTTTTTGTCATCATTCCTCAAATAACTGCCTGACTAAAAATGAGATGTTATTTATACATTGTTCATTCAACAACCCAATAGACACTGTTTATCTTATACTGTGAATGTATTGTGTGTGCTGAGCAAAGACAATAAGAAAACAAAAATAACATTTGCTGTCTACAGCGAAGTTCGATCAGTGTTGAATCAACCTTTGCTGTCCATTACTTTAAACCAGAAAATAGGTTTTAATATTCTATAGTCTAATACACACACTGCTAAATAGATTTAACAAAGCTGCTTTAAGCGGTAATAAGAACATCTCTGGATTTAACTGTTTTATGAAAACCAGTTTGAAGCAAATGTCTTTCATGGCCTCTCCAATTATCATATACAAAAGATAATATACAACATTTGGGGAAACTATGAATATTCTCAAAACTGCAAGTTCCCAAATGCATAGTAGGCCCACTTTTTTGTCATCATTCCTCAAATAACTGCCTGACTAAAAATGAGATGTTATTTATACATTGTTCATTCAACAACCCAATAGACACTGTTTATCTTATACTGTGAATGTATTGTGTGTGCTGAGCAAAGACAATAAGAAAACAAAAATAACATTTACTGTCTACAGCGAAGTTCGATCAGTGTTGAATCAACCTTTGCTGTCCATTACTTTAAACCAGAAAATAGGTTTTAATGAATATTATGAGCATTAAATAATTGATGATATCAGTTGATGCTCTCTGTGTCTATCTTCCAGTACACTAATATGTAGTAGTTGAGGAAGGTAAGTGCAACCACTGCCTGGCCAAAATGAGCAGATGTTCGGCTGAAAAGTGCCAGCAAGTGTCAAGAACCAATTGTGATGGCACCATCATATTAGCCAAGAAGTGCATAGAATGGCATCCAACAGATGATTATAAGTTCACTTTTATTTATTTTTTTATATAAATAGATGTAATGTTAGTACTGCCAATTGCTGTATGGCAGCTGCAGTACAAGTTTTAACTCTGAGGTCAAATAATGTAACCAGTGGGCATTATCGTATTACTGTGTGTTTTAGCCACCAGGGGAAGTTTCACAGGCATCTGCTAGGCCAGCTGCTAGCCCAAGTATGATGCCAATCGTCATGGTTGGTTGGTGCTTCTCTCCAACTCTACTTAATGTCATCATACTGTGAAATATTATTGTGCAGGTGTAGCTTATCTTCTTCAGTGAGGAGTCTGAGGACTAAACCTGCTAGTCCTTCAAAAAAAGACCAACCAACCAATCTTACAAAGTGCTTAATTACTGAAGCACCTTTAAAAAATGAGTCCAGGGAAGATAAACAGCAAAATAGACGTAAAAGATGATGTCTATGTATGGAGAGTCTCATGAGGTAATTTCAGGGGAAGAGATTGGCCCATTACTGTGAGAAACCCAGTTCTAGGCATCCACACTGCCCCTAAGTTTAAAGATCAAGGGTCATTAAGAGTTGCATGCAAGAATGTCAGTCCCGTAATATATATTGTAGAGCAACACACATCTGCTGTATAATTTCAGATATTTTATGATATGTGTTGCTATTTGATATGTTGATAATATTTCAATATTTATGTGTTATATTCTTTAACAATTTACACAAGTTGCTGTCAATTTTTTTTCCCGATACATCTGCATCCTTCAGGCCCATACAATGATGATTTTATTCAGTGAAGTGGTCTTAAATCACTGTGTGTGATGTGTGTCCCTTGACCGAGAGGTCACTTTATTCAGGGAGCATTTATCAAGAGGGAGGGGTGAGAGGAGAGAGAAAGCCAGGGGTTTGGGTCAAGGTCAGAATAGAGCGTAGGAGAGATAGTATAAAATCACAGGAAGGAGAGTCTGTCAAAAAAAAAGCACAGTAAAAGAGAAGTTTGTAGTGAGTCGGAGCATAAGACGTGTGGCGCGTATAGTTACACTGGTTATTGGGTAGTTTAAGTGCTTCGATCCATCTGTAAGAATGAAAGTGCACTGCCTGGCTCTTCTGGTTTTGTCACTCTCAGCGACAAGTGTACAGGCCTTATGGAGGTAAGTCTACACACTCCTCAGTGGAGAACAATTTTGCTGGCTTTAATACAACAACAAAAGCCAATTATTTCATTTGAGAAACATGTTATCTTTACAATATCATGCAATGTTTTTTTTTCCTAACAGTACAAATGCATCTTTATACATGAAAATATATAAATTCCTTTATATTTTAGCAAAGTCAAGTCACCTTTAATCCCGTAGCGCTTTATACAATATATATTGTGTCAAAGCAGCTTCACAGACATAAATAGAAAAACAGCAGAATCAGTTATGGAAACGCAACTATGGAGAAATTTCAGATTCTGCTGTGAAGCAGCTCTAAAAGGCAATAGTGCCGTTTTTAAGCTCAAGTCAGTTCAGTGTTGGTTCAGATCAGATAAGGCTGAAGTGTAACTGTGATCACAATTTCTGCTTCTCTCGATTTAAGCATAATCGTCTGCGATATTTGCCCATTGGTTATTTATCCTGAAAACATTTCAAAAACGGCCAAAAATAAGAGAGACTATAAGTAACTAAAATGTACCAAAAATACTTTTATACTAAAATCTATTTTAGTAGTTTTGAAATTTATTACAAAATGTATATCCATTTTTGCCATATGGGGATTGCATCTATGTCTTATTTTGAAATGAAGATAAATGATAATCGTGAAAAATGATGAAAAATCATTTTAAAATCAGATCAAATGCACTGCCATCTAATGTTGCTGTTTTATCAGTTGTGCAAACAAATAATACATGTAATGAGTTATTTCTCTCGTTGCTAGGGTAAAACTGAAGAAAATGCCCTCCATACGAGAAAACCTGAAGGAAATGGGTGTCACACCAGCTCAAGTGTTTTCTGAGATTATGCCCAAATATGATGAACCATCACCCAAAAACGGCACAGCTCCAACACCTTTGATCAACTACTTAGATGTAAATCAGTATTAAAAATGGAAAAGAACCACAATTATGAGCAATTTTATATTTTTAATAGTCTGTTGTTTTATATAGACAATTTAATATTTTTAATTGTCTATTTCTCTGTTGATTTCCAGACTCAATACTTTGGTGAGATTAGTATTGGTTCACCAGCTCAGATGTTCAATGTTGTTTTTGACACGGGTTCTGCCAACCTCTGGGTTCCTTCACACAGCTGTTCTCCTTTATACACAGCCTGCTGTGAGTGATTTGCTAAATGCAATCATATAAAAACCACATAACAATTTATATTACAAAGTCATTGTATTATGTGAACATACCTTTTTAAATAGAAAGCAAAACCTATTTTGTCCTAAACAAATGTTCTCCTACAGCTCAGTCTGTCTTTCTCTATATGTGTCTTTAGTCACACACAACAGGTACGATGCTTCCAAATCCCTCACGCATATTTACAACGGCACGGGATTCTCCATCCAGTATGCTTCTGGAAACGTCCGGGGATTTCTGAGCGAGGATGTGGTTGTAGTGAGTAGCAAAACGCCATTTGTTTTAGAATGTAAAGCACTGGGAATGTTAAGAAATTAGTTCAAAAAGAATATCTTTACCAACATATGGAAACGGTATTTTAATGACCGAGGCAAAATATTTTTTGCCATCCAGGTTACCATAGAAAGTCAAGC